TTCTACTTAATTTCCATGCATCTGTGGAACTTTTGTGTTTTCTTTCGCATTAGCTTTTTGTTTCATTCTACTATGGTCAGATAATATGCATGGGATAATTCCTGTTTTCTTGCATATACTTAAGCATGACCTATGGACCAGTATGTGGTTTATTTTAGTAAATGACCCATCTGCACCTGCGAAAAATGTGTATTGAGCTGTGTTTGGGTGGAACACTCTGTATATGTCCACCAAGTACATTTTTTTCAAGCTCTGGTTCAGTTCTGTTATTTCCTTGCTAAGTTTTTGTTCAGTTGACCTATTGGGATAAAGGGGTATTAAGGTCTCCTATGAAAATTGTGATATCAGATATTAGATTTTTCATGTCCATTAAGATTTGCTTTACATAGGTGGGTGCTCCCATGTTTGATGCATACATATTTATGAGTATTACCTCTTCTTCTTGAATTTTTCCCCTAACTAGTACATAGTGGCCCTCTTTATTTCACTTGATCATTGTTGGTTTGAATATGAGACTGTCTGAGAATAAGATTGTTACCCCTGCTTTTTTCTGAGGTGCTGAGGCATGTAGTATTTGTTTCCATCCTTTAATTTTCAGCCTATGAATGTCTTTATGAGTTAAATGTTTCTTGTATACAGCATATTGTTGGATTTTGCTTCTTAATCCACTGTGCCAGTCTATTTCTCTTAATTGGTGAATTGAGTCCATTTACATTGATGGTTATAATTGAGATGTATTGACTTACGATTGACATGTTATTTACCTGTTGTCATTTACTCCTTTTTCTCCTGAGTATAATTGCTTGCCCTATTTAGTTGGATGCTTCTGATCTCATCCTTGAAGTTCTGATCATTTTGGTCCCTCTCTAGAACATCTTTCAGGAGCCTGTGTAGGGTTGGCTTTGTCATCATGAAATTTTTTAGTTGTTCTTTGTCATGGAAGTATTTCACTTCTCCAATCAACTTTAAAGAGAGTTTGGCAGGGTATAGTAGTCTTTGCTGGAATTTGTTTTCATAGAGGACTTGAAGGCCCCTGCTCCATGCTCTTCTTGCCTTCATGGTTTGTGAAGACAAGTTGGTCATAATTCTGATGGGTTTTCCTTGAAGCATCTTCAAGATCTGCTTCTTTTCTCTAGCATCTTTCAGTATATTATTCTTCAGATGAATTTCTGGGATCTTGACCATTATATGTCTTGGTGTGTTTTTAATTGGGTTGAGGTTACTTGGTGTTCTGTATGCTTCGGTTAACTGAATGTCTGATTGTTTCTTCATATTTGGGAAGTTTTCTGCTGTTACTTCTGCCCATATTTTTTTAATGTCATTTGTACTGACTCCTTCTTTCTCACTGATACCTATTAGTCTCACATTGTTCATCTTTGCATCATCTTGCAGGTGATGGATTATTTTTTCCTGCATCCTAGCTGTTTTTAAGAGATCTTTTCTTACCTTTTCACTACCTGCACCAGCATCTTCCAGATCTGAAACTCTGTCTTCACTTTCACGCAAACGGTTTTGCAAGCTTGTGATTGAGACTTTACTTTCCTCTATATCTCTTGGACTCTGCTTCATGCGTTCTGTTTCTTCCTGTATTGTTCATTTAAGGAATTCATCATTTTTCTAATCTCCTCTTTTCTTTATCAATGTCTTCATTAGAAGTAGTTATTAATCCTTTTACTGCAGTGTTTTCTTCAGATTGGGTTTCCTCCCTATGTTTCTGTAGTTGATTCTTTACTTCACATGCTATGAGTTCAGAGTATTTTTTTTTTAATTTCAGAAAAGAATTCCACTCTTAGTTTCTGTATAACTTTCTACTGTTGCTTATTTACTCTCAATGCTATTAATCTATACATTTGAGCTGAACTAGTGTCCTCTGCACTTGTTCTGGGTGGACATTGGGTTTCCTCCATATGTTTCTGCATTTGATTCTTTACTTCAGATGCTATTAATTCAGGCATTTCTTTTTTCATTTCCAATTTGAGTTCCTCTATACCTTTCTGCAGTTGTTTCCTTATTTCAGAAGTTGTTGACTCATTGATTTCAGCTATGTTGTTCCCAATTTGTTTTGTGTTCATGTCCTCTGCACTTGTTGTGGGTGGGCTTGGGATCTGAGATTGCATTTTATTCCTTCTCATTGTCATTTTGTGTAGTACTGTATTCTGACCTTTTTTTGTAGAGCTTTGGTGCAGTTACAACCTGAGCACCTACTGAAATTTAGGTGCAGATCTACAAAGTTTGGATTTTTCCAGCTGTGCCTGGCTTGAGTCTGGCTGCTGTGCTCAATGCCTTCATGCTGCTGCCCTTGGGAATCGACACTGTTGTGCCCCTCTGGCAAGATGTTCTGCTCCCGGACTAGCTAAGTGGCTTGTTCCCCTGCTCTCTCTACAGGGATTGCAGCTGCAGGGTTTCACCCCAGGCCTCTATGCCAGGCCTGAGCTGAGTCTGGAGGGGACAAGTGGAGTAGGGGGGAGAGGAAGTTCTCCCACACAGTCACTGACCCTGAGCTTGGGCTGGATCTGGAGGTCCTGAGAATGGGGCAGATGTTCTCACTCACTGGACAGGGGTAGGAGGGACTGTGGAGTGGTGGGGAGGTCCCAAGTGGGTGGAAGAGGGTCTCATCCATGCTGTGCTTGTGCTTGGACCGGATAGGTCCCACTGGCACAGAGTAACTGGAATCTCTCTCACACACTCACCGGGCCTGGACTAGAACTGGATCTGGGGGTCCCCAGAATGCAGCAGAAATTCTTACTTGTGGATGGGGTGCTGGTTTGGTGCTGCGGAGTGGTGGTGGTGTCTGAAGGGGGTGAAA